GGGAGGATGGGCAGAAAAGATATTCAAGCTCAGAGTACAGAGGCTGAATTTCTAATTCCAAGAAACTTTCCTCTCTGGTTTTTCTTACATATAAGACAAAGGCATGCTTTTAGGTCTGATTTTCCAGATGCATCAGCTTCTGCTTACACAGTTCTGCTTACACAGCTCTAGAACCAGTGCTTTAAGATTGCCCTGCTAACTCCTATCTGGAGAGCTTATTCCATTTAGGCCCATGAACTAGCTTTTTTTGGAGCAGAAGCACAACCCAAATATCTTCAAGAACTCTTTTAACTAAGTTCATTTATTTCTCTCCCTTCCTTCACCTGCCCTGCCCTGCTTTTTCAAAAAACATGGCACTACTGTGATCAACATCAGCTCACCAACTAGAAGAGATATACTAGTTTCCCAAATGTTTACAGGGTGCATGTTACATTTACCAAGCTGAACCTCCAGAGGGTCACTAAATTCATCTGAGAATGCCAGAGTGATAAACAGAAAATAGCATTCGAGGTCAGGCCAGCCATGTCGATGACAGTCAAACCCTTTGCTTTGTTAAGCACCTGAGTGCCTTCCCAATGTTTTCTTATGCAGCAACAAGATTCATGAATGCAGATCTAAAGAAAATTCCAGGCTACTTAATCCTAAAATGTGCTACGTATTCTACAGTTCTTCCAGAAACACCAAGCATGTGCAAATTTGAAAATGCCTTCAATCAAAAAAGCAATAAAGTTCCTAGTATAGAGGAATCCACTTCCAAAAACCCATGCAGTCTGTAAGCCAATCACCAACACACAGAGCATGTGCATATTGCAGAATGGACAGCTTTGCTACAAATCTTGATTCTGTAATTCACTAGCTATGAAACCACAGACAAAGGAAGCCATTTACCTGGTCTCCTCTTCTGTACACTGGCAATAATGTAACACAGCTCAAAAAGAGAGTACAGATAATCTATGTCAAGTGCCTGGAACACTTCAAGCATTCAATAAATGGTAGTTACTAATACTTCTTCTGGGTTTGCCAATTTAAATAATTAATATTTCATATAAATTCCTCAAATCATGTGCCACCTCAAAGGCTAGTTAAAGATGGGACCTACTTTCAGTGAGCCCTAGTTACTTAAGTAGCCTTCAACCATTTGAAGTAACTAGACCAATCCTATGCAGTTATCCAATGTAAAAGCAGAAATTACACACAACACCTGATTTTGAGACTACTTCTTGGGTTCTTGGATCTTGTCTAAGCAAAGCCAGTTTTGACAAATGTCTTTTCTACAGGGGAACCCCACCACCCCATGACCTTTATATGTCCTCATTGTTCACTGAATTCGGAAAACTGAAATACTACAGGGCCAAATGATTTCCATCAGCATTCAAAACTGAAAAATTGTAGGTATTTGCCAAACGTAGATGTGCAGAGAGCAAAATGCAGAGGTGAAGAACCTTTACAGAATCTAAACTCACTCCACAGAATAGAACATTATTCGGCATTAAAAAGAAATGAAGCACAGAAACTTGCCACATCATGGATGAAACTTTAACATTGGGCTAAGTGAAAGAAACCAGTCACAAAAAAACTTCACACTGTATATTCTATTTATATGAAATGTCCAGGATAGAGCAATGCATATAGACAGAAAGTAGATTAGTGGTTGACTAGGGTTTGGGGGTGGGGGGGGCGCGTTGGGGAGTGACAGATCATTGGTACAGGGTTTCTTTTGATAAAAATGTTCTACAATTAGACTGTAATGATGGTTGTACAACCCTAAGAATGTAATGGTAACTTGAACTGTATACTTTAAAAGGGTAAATTTTATGGTGTATGAATTATATTTCAATAAAGTAACTTGGTAAAAACCTAACTCATTAACTGCTTGGAGGATCTTTTATTCTTTGCTGCCTGGAGCAATAGCTTCTCCATTAAAAACTAAAAATAATGAAAAATAAGAGCTCTGAGTGCTGTCTTGGGTTTAAAGTCATAAATAATCTTGCCTTTCCATCTACCATCTCCATTTTACTTCAGTATCATTTTAGGTGAACTTCAGTGATGTTAATTACTGAAATAAAACACAAAATTTACCTATACCTGAGTCAAATTCTACAGATTATATTCTTTATTTCAATAACCGTTGTCTCATTTAGTACAAACTGACCACCTTTGTTACTTGCTTCAGTGACCTTCGAACAACTGAAGCTCCACTTTCACAGGATCTCTCTGTTCTCCTAAGAGTATCACATAACAATGACTGGCAGTGTCTTACCCTTTAAACAGGCAAAACCCGTCTGCTCCGTACCTAGCAAAATCAGTGTAATTCACTTGAGGAGGAATGTTACTGGTGAGAACTAGGGAACAGGGATGGTCTAGCCGCTGATTAGGAGATGGAAATAAATTAAAGAGTATGTGCCAAGTAATGGATGGTCTTAACTAACTCGACAAAGGAACATGTAGTTTTGAAATTTATATATTTGTTGTGAAGTGATCACCACAAAAAGTCTAATTAACAGCTGTCACCATAACAGTTAAAAGAATTTTTTTTCTCATGATGAGAACTTTTAAGATTTACTCTCTTAGCAAGTTTCAAATACACAACATTGTATTATAACTATATTCGCCATACTGAACGTTACATCCCCATGACATTTTTCCCCCAAGTTTTTGTTTTTAAATTTAGAAAAGCTTGTATCTGACCAATGAGCCACTAACTGTGGAAAAGACAAAAAATGAGAATCCACAGTTCCTGCCAGTTAGATTCTCAAATCTAAAGAGAAATTAAACATCCTCACATGAAGAGACCTAGGAATATCAAGAATAAATGTACTATCGGCTCAACACACATTACTCTATGATACTTAGAATAATTGTGATGGAGAGGAAGATGTTAAATGAACATTATACTAGAAAGTAGGCAATGCCTCCCTCCCTAATACTGCCTGCTACTAGCATTTATTCAAAGAAGGTTGCACAGAATTAAGATAGCAATTTTGTAGGGAAGAAACTTGTTAGTACTGTTTACATTGAAAAATTCAATCTAAAATCGTAACTTTGGTTAAACAAATTACCTATTTATCATAATTTAATCATAGTTATTCAAGGGTCATCTGCTGATTTATTTTTCAAATTATTTCAGTTCACCCCTCCAATTGATACAAAGAAGTTCTTGAAGATAAGCTACTCTTAATTTACTTTGTTTTTCAAGGTTCCCTGACTTTGCAGAAATAAAAGAAGTATTTTCTTCTAAGATACAGGCCACCACATGTAAGTACTGTTATGAACAAAAACTTCATCATTTCTTTTGCTTAAATATTTGAAAAAACAAATTTCCAACAACCCAGGTTAACCAAGCTTGACAACACTTCACTTTATGACGCTATGATCTCTGCTATGTCGCGGTGTTCTAGTTCAAATTTCATTTCTAAATCTTTTAAACACTTCCCTTAATTTATCATATAGCCTTTCTCTAGGGCCAAATCTTTTCAGTACAAATATTACTTATGAAATGACAATGTTATATCACTTTATTCTTACAATGGACTCATATATAGATGACCATTTGAGTTATTAGTTGTTACAGTCAATTTTATATAGACTTTTTAATTATTAAGATTAGTCTTTGCTTACAAATTACAAAACATCTTGATAAATTATTTCCTAAGGTACTGGAATCTTGCATAACTATTGCAAAAGTCCACAAGCAAGTTTTCCAAATCTAACAACCAAGAACTAGCAAATCAACTGTGAAGTTATAATCTTGGTCACATTCAAATTGAGCAATTCAGTTGCTTTTTCAAAGAATATCAAAATAACAACATGACTTTTTAAAATAAGTATCATTTAGTAGCTACTTCACATTATGGATGGAGCTCTTACAAATATATCCATTCCTCCTTGGATGTTTTCTCTTAATGCTGCTGCCCAAAAAGAATAATTAATGTATCACGGGTTTCCCACTAAGTTCTTCAAATGTTCTTGAATGAATAAAGTGAAGAATATGGAATAACATTATTTGTGTACCTTTCTTGAGACTTGTCTGCAAGCAACCCCTAACCACCCTAAAATTCAACGAAATGCCTTAAGTGAAAAATTAGTGATAAACAGCAGAATAAATAATCACATCAGAGAACACAGCACAACACTTGGTTTAAAAAAATAAAAGAAATGAAAAACAAAGGAAAGAAAAGCAACAAAAAGACAAAGAAAGAAGCAAAAGCAAGCACAAAACTTCCCTGCAAACAACTTTCACAACTTCTCCAATCTGACCTCTCACCATTTTTTAAATCCTGCGACTGGATGGAGTAAGATCCATTTGTTTAGCGCACTCTTCGTGGAAATACTTTTTCTACACATGTCCTTCTGCAAAAAGTATTTCTGATATCTACATGAAGAGTTACCGTTTTGCTACTCATCAGGACTTCACAACAGTTTAAAGAGGATTTTTAATTGTAAATTACATTAAACAGGTGTATCCAAGTAACTGGAGAGGTAAAGTTCCAAAGTGCAGAAAGACTTCTGAAATTCCTATTCCTCCAACCTCGCCGCAAAAGATCGGCAGAATGCTTTTCATTCTTAGCGCAGGGCTAGTATTCTAATCAAGTAAAAAAAAAAAAAAACAACAACTTGATTTTAAAACGCTCCTAAGTAGCGAACTAAAGCGGACTGAACGGCTCCGGAATGGCTCCGGGCCACGAACCCGGAATAGTTTAGAGGATACAAGCCCCCGGAAGTTCAGGCCAGATTTCTCCTGCACCCAAGTAACACTTTAGATTCGCCAAGTTGGGCTAGCAATGTATTCATAATTTAAAACTCTACAAGTCTAGACAAGCCAGAAGACGGCTAAAGAGCCAGGTGGGTACCCGGGACGCAGGAGCCTTAGGAAGAAGAGGGAGCTAGGGAGAGGAAGGCCCAGCGCTCGGCCCGGAAATAGTCAGCGCGGGCCAGGCCCGGCCCCAGGCCCTGCGGGCAGCCGCAGTAGCAGGGGGACTGCGGCGCTGGATCCGACTCACCTGCCCATTCACCGAGCCCCGGTCCGACCCCTGCCTCGTGACCCAAACCCCAGACCCGAAGGGCCGTCAAGAGCGAGCACGAGATGCGCAGGGCCAGGTAGGCCACGGTGCCCGCGCCCACCCAGTACAGGAAGCCGGCAGCAGGTAGAGCGCTTTCCATGGCTTTCAACCGGGGGTACACCGACGTGAATGAAAAACACAAATGAATGAATCCCGGAAGAGGCACTGGCGGTGACAGTGAGGACCAAACAGACGCTGCCCCTACATTGCCTTCGGCCTAAACCACGCCTATGCCGCCATATCCGTGCCGCTATTGGTGAGCTATCTTTCCATCCGAGCTTAGCCATTGGCTGACTTTAGTTTCACTGCCCCACCCACGGCCTCCCTTTCACGCCCTCTGTGCGTTTCTTACAAAGCTGCTGATCACTCATCTGCCAATCAAATTTCAGCCCTGCCCAACGCGTCGCCACGCCCCCAGGATTCCGCCAGAGGGCGGCACCTTTCGCTCCACAAATAGCCCCGGTCTCTCATTGGCTGAAGGGGGGGATGGCCCTCGCGATTGCGGAAAACTGAGCTCTGATTGGCCAATTAGACCCAGCCTGGTTTCAGCTCTGATTTGAAGAAAGAATGGGATCAGAGAAGCCACCACTGAATGAGAAAATTGTAGTAAGTGGAGGTGGAGCCGTAGTTATTTTCAGGTCTTTATTAAACACTTATGTATCATTGTTAAATAGCTGTCATTGCTTCCATAAACTTTTCCGGTTTAAAGACTTGCATCTTATGTTCCTACGCCTTACCACAGCGTACCTTGGCACCTGGTACACTCACGGGCCTTCTCAATGCCAACCCTGCCTCCCATGCTGGGCATTAAATAACATAGTTCCCAGTGTCTTAGAGTTCAAGGCAAATAACTTAATGGACTCAAATAACTATAGTACATGATGGCATAAGAGCGGTAAAATGAATGAAAAATATAGGAACACAACTTGATGACCAAGTAGTTTGGGGAAGGGACTCCCAGGTTTTACCTAAGAACGATAGAGATTTTCTCTTTTTTCTTCTTTTTATTTCCGTTTTTTGTTGGGGTTAGGGGAGGAGGTGGAGTTAGGAGGGGGCACAAAATTGTGCGGGCCAAATAGAGGTGTAAGAACTACCTCAGCAAAGTTCCAGAAAAGTAAAACTGCAAGATACGTTTAAGAAATTGTGTAATGCAATAATGTGCTTCACACTTACCCTCTCATCCTCCCATCAAGAGTTTTTGTTTCCTTTTCTGGCAAGGATTTGGGCTTATATAAGATACCTAAAATTTTGTTTTAGACAGTAGGGGCTGCAGATCCAAGACTTGAGCGTTAAAAACAGGACTTTAAGAGTAATAATTCTTAAGGTCAACAGTTTAACTTGAAGCTAAAGTCATAATTTTAAAATATTTTTTTTATCCAATCCAATGCCTCACTCTTTCTCCACACTAGGTCTAAGACTGTTACTGTTCTTCATAAACTACTAATTGTTCGGCAGAATTCAGCTATGTGAATTGAACTGGCACCATATTTTGTTTTAATTTGATTTGAACATTTGGCTGAAACTGCCTGTCCAACTCAACTGAAGTCCTACCACTCCTCTCCCTCAGCATCTCCCTCTTGCCAAAATTTACACCTACAGTACAGCCCCAACTCATTGCTCACCAACAAAGGGTCCTCCAGGTACTCAGTCCCATTCTCCTTAGAATAGGGTGGAAGGAGGGAAAGCATTATTATAAGCTCAAAATACATAGTTTTGTTCCATTTGTATGTATGTCTATGGCACCTTCTAGAATTTATGGTTGTTGGGGACCCCAAGTTGTGAATCCTTAGGACCTAGAACAGTGCCTGAAACCTAGAAACACTCAATCCTTTGCTGGCCTCTAAATGATGCAATACCCTTGGGCTCAGACCCTAGCTCTCTTTATTTCTCTACACAGTTTCCTTACATAATTTTATCCAGTCCCTTGGTTTTAAATATCAGCTGTAAACTGACTTCCAAATGTTTCTGGCCAGTCTCAACTTCTGCTCAGAAGTGTATACATATAAAATATAATCCCCACCTGCCTACTCAACCTCTCCACTCAGATGTAAAATAAAAACATCTCAAACTTCACGTTAAAAACTGAGCTGTACCCCCACCACACAAATGCTTCTTCCCCTCCTCTTCCCACCTCCGGTAAAGGATATTTACCCCCTTTCTAAGGTCCAAAACCTAGGAGTCAACCTTTATTCTTTTCTTTCCATTACATTCCCATATTCAATTCTTCAGCATATCTTGTTCACTCTACCTCCAAAATACATCTTGACTGACCACATCTTCGCACTTCTGCTACTACCAACCTAATCCACATCACAAGCATTTCTTGGCTGGAATATGGTGATAGCCTTCTAACTGGTCTCCCTGAAGTCTGTCTTGTGTTTTGTTCTCCATGAAGGAATTAGAGTGTTCCTTTTTTTTTTTTTTTTTTTTTTGCTATCATTAAAAGTGTTCATTTTTTAAAGTAAATTAGATTTCTTCTCCTTAAATCTCCTCGAGAATTTTGTATCACATTAAGAAAAAGAATCTTTCAAGACTAGTTTATCTGCCCTGTCCTAACACCGACCTCTCCTGTGCTCACTTGATGCCAGCCACACTAATTGCAGTTCCTCAAGTAAGTCAAGTTCATTCTGGTCTCAAAGCAGTTTTACTTTCTGTCCCCTCTCCCTGGAACCTCTTACCTTCTATTCCCAGGGCTCAATCCTTTACATTATCTAAGTTTTTGTTCACATGTCTTCTCACTACAAATGGTTTTCTCTGATCACTCTACATAAATAGACCAAATAGCCTCCTCTTCTTTGCCTGGTCACTCCTTAGACTTTTACCCTAATTTGTTTTCCTTATAGCACCTAATGTTTCCTAACTTTAATTATTTGGTTTTTGTCCATCTTCCCAATAGAATGTAAGTTCATGAGGACAGTTGACCTTTTCTTGCTCACAACTCTTATCTTCACCTGAGAGAACGTGACACAGTAAGTATGCAATAAATGCCTATTGAATGAAGGCTGACTAAATAATGAAAATAATCTAGTGGGAAAGACAGACATTAAGCAAACATCCAACTAATTATATGATAAACATTATGTTAAAAAAATTGTAATAAGTACAAAAAAGGAAAGAATAGGGATTAAAGAAAGAAGATAATAAAGGGACGACCCTGCATCAATGGGGAGAGGAGAATGCTGAAAAGTCTTTCTAAGGAAGTGGCACTTGGGCTGGATTTAAGGATAAATAGAAATTAATCTGGCAAAGAGTAGGGTTGGGTAGATCAGAGGAAAAAGCAACAAATATCCATTAACAGTTTTGTTGTGGTTTTGAAAAATACACATATGTGCATCTAGCACCTACAGCAATTATCTGACATAAAGTTAAAGAGGCAACAAAAGAATAAATGTTGATTTTGGATTTTTTAAATAAATAAGGGCATGTACCATAGAAACAGACTTTCCATTGCTATTAGAATTCATATTGAGTATATTATTTTAACTCATATAATATTGAATATTGAGACCATCTCATTATGGTATCTATTCTTCTATGAAGTATGGGCCCTACCCAAGCAATTAACAAGAATAATCTTTATTAAAAACAGACACATTGGCATCTTACTACACCAATGGACAGTGACTGCATTGGGGTATGGGTGGGGACTTAATAATATGGGTAAATGTAGTAACCACATTGCTTTTTCATGTGAAACCTTCAATAATACCTTAATAAAAAAATTTTTTTAATAAAATAAAAATAAAAACACATTTATTCTGATCACCTCAGGAATATTGAGGAATATTAACTACTCCATTGATGAGAAGAAAAAAATAATGATCTCACAGATTTGAAATGTTATGTGCCAGAGTTAAGCTCTTTGGGGTTCAGATAGTTACTGTAAGATGAATTCCAACCGAAATAAGCAGGCGACAAGAGGCAACAAAGGGCCAGGCAGTTTATTTGAGTGCAGTCCTGGGGGAGGTTCACCAGTCTACATAAATGTAGGCTGGAGAAGTCCCGCCCAGCAGGGCAGGCAGCAAGTTTTTAAGGATGGTGGGGGGTGGGGGTGGGCAGAGCCTAGATTTACAGCGGCACAAGGATTGGCTAGCCTAGGGTACGTGGAGGTCTCTCATTGGTCTCTAGACAAGTACTGGGAAAGTACCACCACTCCTCCAGCTCTGGGGAGGGCTCTAGTTAGGAACTTTTGGAATTTTGTCAGATCAGACCCTGGAATGTTGTCAGACCGGAACTTGTTGGTTTCTTGCCCTTATTTGGTGATGCCTGAACCTGTCCAGCGGGCTCACCCCTTCCCCCAGTGCCTCCAGCCTTACAGTTACACACTTCTGGAACTGGACAACAATTCTCTGGATAAATTAATAAACCACTAAAAACCCTAATGCACAGGAACCTTTTATGATGATCTACTCACATTCAGAAGTTTTCTGTGCTAAAATTTAACATAGAGACCAGGGTTCCTAAGGGCTGGCAGAACCACACTAAACAAATACATGAAATGATTAGTAGCCCTCCAAAGAGGAAACAATACTAAAAAACTTTAAGCTTTGGTGTCAGGTAATGCTAGGAGTGGATCCTGATTCTACCTCTTATTAGCTGTATGATTTTGTGATCACATTCTGCACCTGTAAAATGAGACAATACTACTTAAACATTTAGCAGCGATTATCAGAGAAATATTAAGTGTTCAATGAGGTAGATCCTACTCTTATCTCCATTTTACAGATGAGGAAACAGGCTTAAAACATTTAAGTAACCTTCCTATAAAAACACAGAAAGAAAATAGCAAAATTGGGATTTCAACTGAAGAGGTGTGGTTATGAAATTATATATCAATAATTCGCTCAGAGAAGGTGGTATTTAAAAAATGGTTAAGGGAGAATAGAAGAGTCTAGAAATACTTGATTGTTACACAAATGACACACACACAACCACACTGGATTTTCAGTCTCATTTATTTAAAAGAGAGTTCAGAATAGTCTTTAATATGGAAAAATGTGAATCGACAATATTTTATATTAGTACACAAATGTTCCCATTTAATTTTAAATTCATTGTCAATATTTCTGTAAATGGAGTTTCAGATCAGATTTTCATCTGATACTCTGAATCGAACAGTCAATATAATGAAAGAAATTCCATAATTAGGGAATTTCATAAAAACTAGGAATTTTTAAGAATACCATTATAACAGAGCTGAGTCCTTTATTTAGTGATATAATAAAACTTACATAATTTTAACAGTTCTGTCTTCTTCTATCTCATCTTCATTTAACTCAACCCAAAATATTACACTTACTCTCTCCTTTAAGTTCTGTTGAGAAGGTGTTTAATCTTGGGTTAAAAAGAAGAAATAGTGACATGAATAACCAATCAGTTTAAAAGAAATTGAAATCTTTGGCATTAGAAAATGGGTGGTTTCAAACAATTTCATATTTAATTTCTTTAACAAACAATATTACCATAAGACATAAACATTAACATTTATTATACTTCAGTAGTATTACATTATTATTTTCCAAGTGACTTCACACTATATTACCCCATTCAAACACAATAATAGCACCCCCATATTTCCAACAAGGAAGCAAACAGTTTAAAACTAATTTGCCTAACAATCACTCCATGCAGGAGGCCTGATTGTAGAGTGAAGGCATGTGCACTAATTGAAAGGAAAGGAGCGCACATAGCAGCAATTCACCGGAGAGTTCCGCTTTATTAGGGAAAGGTGCTGGGTTATATAGGAAGGGGCATGAATTGATTGAGGTGTCACTTCTACGGGGCTGGTGGCTGTTGGCTAGGTGCTGGAATTGGGAGGGGAGAGGTGATTGGGCTTCAGGTGGCGCCGGCGGGAACCGAAGACCCCCGAAGAGAAGCCGGAAGTTTGCCATCTTACTGGTGGGGGCCCTTCATTCCCCCCTTTCTCCTCTATGGGGTTGTGGACGTTGCTTTCTCTCTGGCTGCTTCCTGCTGAACAGGGGCGGAGAAGGGAGTGAGGGCTTGAGGATTGGGAGGAAAGGGTTGATAGGACTCCCCACAGTAAGGATGAGTAGATGTGGACTTCATCAGGTTTGGAAATCAATGAAGGTTCCCTGTAACCATAGGT